AAAATAGAAGAATTTTATCTAGTAATTGTTTTAAAATTGTGATGGATTTCATCAAATATTTGATTTTGAAATAATATATTGTATATAAAATAATTCTAATCATTTATAAATATTATAAAAAGATACTTTTATTAATAATAATAAGTGAGGAAAATTTATCCTTTTCGAATCTTACGTTATTTTCTTGAATTTCTTATCTCCGCATGCTTCCGAGATGAAATTCAGCAATGAATCGCTCGAATCGATAAAAATACACACTATGGGCCTTGGATTGTATCGGATAATAATCAACTGAATAACTTTTATTTATTTATTTTTAAATTCAAATTTTGTTTTCATATTATAAAGTTTATATTAAGAAATTAAATTTTGTAATATTTGCGATGAAGTCTTTTCAAATCAAAACGCTTATTAATATTATAAAGATTTTTTTCAAGTTTAGATTTATTTTTAATTAAATAGAAATTTTAATAATTACGTAAATACGTATTTCTAATTGTGAATAAACGCGAGTAGATATAAAGAATAGACATAAAATTGATTTGTATGTCAATAGAATTATTATATTATTTTTAACAATTGTTTGTTTTCATATTTAACTGATTTAATTAATGTGATGATTCTTTCGCGACGCGTTCGTGTTTCGCGCATCATACAGAAGCGTAAACGCTTACGCTTATTGCCAGCGGTGATTATAGCTGGTAATAAAAAGGAGTATTTCTCCTTGTTGATTTCTGGCAAGCTATGAAGCTAGAATATGAGGCCAGGAACAACGAAAGGTGAGTTCAATCTGGCCAGAAGAAAGAAGATAAAGAAGATCTGTATAAGGTTGAAGATATAAAGATTGGTTTGTATCACCAATCAAAGTTTCAAAGGTAATAATAAATTAAATATTTGGGAGGGTAATTACTTTCGGGAGGGAAAATTTGCTCATGAGTTTTTTTTATTTTTTAAATTGTTGATTATTTATTTAATATGATTGCGATTAGATTATTCCACTGATTTATCAGAACACGATAAGATTAAGACGTGATTAGGCACTAATGTGTTCATAGCAGTGTGTCTAAAATACATCACAGATATCCTAAAGTTATATTTATTGGGATATGTGATATATTTAGCATATAAAGGATTATATAAATACTATCCTATATAAATATAATATAGAGCATATAGAGATTTATATAAAGTTGAAGATTTATATAAAGTAGATTAGTGTGTAATCAAAGTTTAAAAAAAATATACGTATAAAAGTAAGCTAATCCTGGTGAAAATTTTTCTCAAAATTTTCCATATATAATTTTTCAGAATTTCTCTATAATTTTATAATTTTCTCACATTTTTTCTATGAAATAGAACATTTCTCAGAAAATCTACATCTTTTCTCATTTTCTCAAAGAATTTTTCATATATGTTAATTATGAAATATCGTAAGATTTTTAAGATTTTTTTACAAAATCTAAAAAATTAAAAAAAATTTTGTTTAAATTCTGGTATAAGAAATTTCAAAATATTTCAGAATTCATTTGTATGAAAAATTCTGAGAGAAGATGTAAACTTTCCGAATATTTCTGAGTATTTCTGAAAAATGTTCTAATTCGTACAAAAATTATGAGAAAAATTTTCACCAAAGAAATATTCGAAAGGATAATTTGCTTTCTTATATTTTTTAAATTATGTATTTATTCATTTTGTATGATAGTTTGTAATATCAATTAAAGTATACAAGGTACATAAGGATAAGCCTATAAGGTTTCCCTGCATACATGCGATTATTTATGTAATCGGAAATTTAAACGTCTCCAATTAAATCACAAATTCGATTAAATGAAACTCCCTATAATAAAATGATAATTTAATTAATAAATTAAACTTCTAATAATTAATCATATTTTTCCGCATAAATTAAGTTGTTTATAAAATCCCCGAACGGGAATTGCTATGTAAATTTAAATGCACATTTCTAATTTTGGGTAATCACGAGTAAAACTAAAATAAAATATATTAGATGAAAAAGGTACAAATAGATAGAAACAATTAGATAAAATCAGGTAGGTAAGAAATAAGAATACGAGTAGAAATACGGGGATGAAATTTTCAACAATAAAGAAACTTAATTGATTTTGTAATTTTAAGAAATTTTGAAAACAAAAAATAAGAATATAGATAAGTAAAGATATGATTAATTATGGAGGGGAGAGCATAATATGATGAATAATGGAATAAAAATTAATTGCATGATTTTAAAAAATTAAAATTAATTTATTCGCAATGCGAATTGTACATATTTGTATAATTTGTGTTTACGTGGAAAAATACAAGATTAGGAATTAGGTATAAATTATTCTATTGTTAATATTATCGCTATTATTAATATTATATAAAATTATATAAACGTATTATGTAAAATTATGTATTATTTTATATTTGTGAATTAAAATGCGCGCATTTTGAACTATTTTATTTGTAAATATAATATTATTCTATAATAAAAATATCCTATAATAAAAATATAAGATAATATTATAATTATAAATTATATTGTATTATATGTATATTATATTTTATATATTATTTTGTCACGTTTGTTAAATAAAATTGTAATTGTATCTTGTATATAATTTTTTATTGTAAAATAAATTATAAAAAAGTAATAAATAATAAAAATGTTTTAAATACCGTCAAATGGGATGACTTTGATTCAGTTAGAGTAACTTTGACTCAAAAATTTCAGGAATATATATAATGGTATGCATGTCCAAAATTAGGACATAAAACATCTTAAAACGTTTTTAAGGCCTATTTAAAATGTTTTTTATTTTGATTCTGTGCTAAACGTGCTGTTTGTACATTATCAAAATTTGGAATAAAATTATCCCATTTTACGATATGTATATAAATAAAAGATGACCATCGATTATAATCGATGAGAGTGGTGAAGAGCCTCTACAGATTGACTCGTTTTTTCTTCGTTGAAACTCTATTTCAAATTGAGAATATGCTAATTTTGTGAGACAAACGGGATATTCTGCATTAAAAAAAAAACATTATTTTTATGTAAGTATTACCTAATTGCGTATAGAACAAAATAATATGTGTTTGTTTAATATTCATTTTTAAATTTCAGATTCAGCAGTTTCTATTTTCAATGGAGAAAATAAGAAGAAAATAAATCACAACATTTTCTAGTAATTCTTATAATTTATTTAATTTATTAAAATTAAACGTGAAGCTTACTTTTTAATTACTGATGTCAACAATTAATTAACAATTAATTAAATTATTAATTATTATTTTACTTATTTTTGTGTTTTTAAATATATTAATTTGCAATGATATAATAAATTTGGCTTTATCTTTTGCCATAATAAAAATTAATTTTCCACAAGTTTCTTTTCACTTTAATATTAACGTTTTCTCTTTTGGAAAGCAATAAAAATATATATATCGCTTCCCAAAGAGAAAGCGTTAATATTAGAGTAAGAAGTTTGTAGAAAATTAATTGAAACCAAATTCATATATTATGTATTGCGTAAGCAAATATAATTAAAAACACAAAAATAAGTAAAATAATAATAATATATTGCTTAATTCAAATAATCGTGGCAAATTGACATTATTGATACTATGGACATAACTAGCCAATAGCTATTCTTCTGAAGAATGGAATGATTGTGATTGGCCAGTTTCATAACATCGATGTAAATCATATAGTGTTTTCGACCCGAATGGATTTTCTCCCATTTTAGTTGGAATGTTCTACTATTGGTTGATGTTATACCAACAGAAAAGCATACAACGTCATTAATCCAACCTAGGTTCGTACAAATCCGCTCGGGTCGAATACGCTAATAATTTTAGCGTAAATCAAGCCGTAGTCGTCACTAACGATTGGAGATTGCGTCTGCGTTCACGTTTGCGTCCCTTGAATCAAAACGAACCTGCTGATCAATAGATCCTTTTCGATTGGTCAAAAGACGCAAATGCGAACGCAGACGCAATCTTCAATCGCTAGTGCGATATCGGCCTAACGATAGTTCGGTGGCGCCTCTGCCGAGTCGCAGCTGCAGTGAGCCAGTCAGCGTCGGTGTACGTAAAATGGCGGACGGTGACATTGATTTGTACGCCGACGATCTCGAGCAAGATTTCGCGCAGGTAATTCGCATTTCTCTTTGATAATAATAAAACGACAGGAACGCGTACTCTTTATTCCCGTATGCTCGAAGAACATAGAGAAACGGTCTGCATATTTTTATATCCATGTTGAGTTCGTAACGCTCGCTAACGCGCCGCACCGCGCCATAACGTACCGCGTCACCCTACGCCTTGCCGCAACTGTGTACGAACGATTATCGTTCCGCGTCTTCCGTACGTATCGGAAACGAAGCTGAGTGGTGTCGGCATCGTAGTGTACGTGCGGCCGTTGTTAACGATCGGCTCGCGCCGTTGATCTCTCATCGTGAACTGTTTACTGTGTGATCCCTGCCGCTTGTTATCGAACCGGCGCGGTGAGAGACAGCGAGAGAGGCTATTCCGAGGAGGAACGTACGAGCGCCCGCGTGCGCGCGCGCGCGCGCGAACCAACGAACTAACGAACGGACGGACGGATGAACGAATAAACCGACTAGTTCGCAAACATATACGAGATAAGCTTCATTCCAATAGTGTTACCTCTTTCTTGTTATCGCGTAGTTGACCGATCGCCTGTAGCTAGTGCCTGTCTGCTGCCGTCGATCGCGCGCGCGATACCCGTTGCCGGAGCTAAGCGCTAAAACAGTAATACGGGTTCGCAACAGGAATCGACCGCAAAATGGTGCTAGCGGTAAGGCGAATATCGTGTAGTTTATTCTTTTATGTTTTCCCTCTCTCTTTCTCTCTCTCTCTCTCTCTCTCTCTCTCTCTTTCCTTCCGTTCTCTCTTTCCTTTTTCCTTCGATTTTTTTGTGATTTGTAACCCTCACGTACATATACGCACATCACTGTACACAAATTCACATACAACACGTACATATATTACGACGTATCGCACTGCATGCGAGATTATATTTTTTTCTTTGCAGTCTCTAACAATTTTATTTTCTATTCTTGAATATATTTTCCTTTTTGCGGAAAAAAAAAACGCTGTTTTAGAATATCGCGGCAGGAATTGAAATCTATGTAATTTCATACAGCTCAATTTTTATTATTAAGAACTTGAATCGCAAGGGATTGAATCTTTATCAATCCTTCTGCAAGATAAGATTGTATATAATTTTTATATAGAAGTGAGAAAATTCAATAGCGACATTTATTGTAAAACATATAAAGTGTTAGTTCAGAATTAAATGTACTTTTAATTTTTATTTTTTTAAATAGTGTTCATTTTATTTATATAAATATAATTACATGTTGCAGAAAGAAATATAAAGAATAATTGAATGCAGTGTGTTGCATAAACCTTGCACATCCGCTGCGCCAAAGTCTGAACTGAAATTGAAATTACAGTGAGTTCAATCTCTGCTCCATCATATCTTCACAATGCAAAAAGTCTGTATATCTGCATATCTGTTACAGTCGAAGTGTACGATCGGTTGATCGGTTGAACCACAGGGTGCGCAGGAAGTTGAGTGTAATAAGAAAATGGTACATCTAACGATTTTTTACATATTGATGTAATTTATTTTTCATGAATTAATATGTATATATA